GGCACCAAGAATCATTCCAGCCCTCCTCACATCCCTGCCTTCCTGCTGCCCCATCCTAAAACATTGTGGAACAGAATTGTTTTTGTAAATATGTGGTTGTTCCTTGGTGAATGTGAGGATGGATTCCAGAAACCCCCTCAGATACCCAAATCTCTACCTGCTCAAGTGCAATGGCCTGTGACCTACACACATTCTTTGAATCATTTATAGGTTACTTAAATACTTATACCATTGGAAATGCTTCATAATGCTTATATACTAATTGCTTAGGGAATGATGACAACGATATAACTCTGCACATGTTCCATATATATGAAGTTTCTTCCTAAATATTTTTGATCCTCTGTGGATGGAATACACAGATGTGGTGTCCACAGATGCAGAGGACCACCCACTTGTATGGTAACTGTGTGTTGCCTGGAAAATGTAGTTAACAGTCAACATTTGTACCAGCAACTTGACTTGGTAGCCAATGAAGCCTTGGGGACTTATTTGTCTTGATTTGACTTCTGCTAATGAAATTATCAAGGCCTCAGTTTGCATTAATCACTAGATGAGCTGCTTGTCTCCAGGTTACAGCAGTGTAACGATCATTCTGCATTTGAAGACTCTGGAGCTTTCACTAAGTGGAACCTGGTTAGGTAACTCACTGGAGCCCATCCAATTTATGTCCTTAAAAGTTTGCTGCTAGGCCTCAATCTAGATTGAGTGGGGGCCTTGGTTCCCACTAAACTATTTACCATCACTGACACCTTGGATATAGCTCCTTCTGCATGGCTTTGATGAGTTTACAGAGGGGCGACCATAACCCAGATGCAGAGCCAGCTGCCTGGGCCAAACACAGAGAGTCCACCATGATTTGGTCACCATGAGTTGCCTGCACCTCCGTCCTTCCCCCCTGGCTCTATCCACATTGCCTCCTTGCCATGTGATGCATGCACTCCAAGGTTACCAGTGAAAGTTCCTGGTCCCCCCTAGGAGGGGACAGACACTTGTGACATCTATCACAGCATTCAGGTCTCCCAATAATGTCTGCATAACTACCTGCTGTTAGAGTTGAAACTCGTGGCTTACCGTGATCATGCTGCTGAGGGTTTTGCCATACATCTTACTGAACTGACACTTGATAAGATTCAAGTCAATGTCACTCCTAGAGATGATATTCCTTATCAGGGTCCCATTGAGTGTCCCTGCTCCCTGGATGAGATGGAGGCAACCAATCATCACTTCTCACCTCTCCCGCCCAACTCTGCAGGGCTGGATAAAGCTGTGGGGTTAGTTTCTGGGGCTTTGGGAGGGAGGGAGATGCAGGAATGAGCCAGGGAAGCACTCAGAGGGAAGCTGGGGTGGTGTAGGGTGTGTGTGTTTGGTTTGCCCTACAGGTTCTGGATGCAGAATGCTCACTGCTCCAGGGGGAAGACTTTTGCTGTGAGCAGCAGCTGTGGCAGTCACCTCACTGGCCAGTTCACAGGCAGAACTTCCC